TGTCACCATTAAGAATGATATTAGCCATACATTGTTGGAGATGTTTTATCAGATTGAGGAAGTTCCCTTTTATTCTTATTTTGATGAACATTTTTATCATAAGTTGGTGTCAGATATTTAAATAGTTTTTTAAAACAGTGAAACTTGTTTTGAAGGCTTCATAAGTGTAGTAAATTACAGACTAATTTGACATTGCCATAATCTTCATTACAAAATAGTGTTATATAACTGGTACTCTAACATGTAAATTGATATTTTAGGAGCCACTTCCGTCTAGACAAAATTACTGTGATGATTCTGTAGAATGTAGGAAAAGAAGATCTAATCATCACCTTCAGTGATAACATTTATGACTAATGTACTGAGTTGTGTTTGGAGATAGATACTCCTCATAACCCCTGCCCTTGAAATCTGAAAGATTTACTTAAGAATCAAACTGCTCATACTCATCTCCTTTTATCTATTAGGTTCTGTTACTCACATGTCCATTTCTTATTTTCTTTGGAAAGATGCTTTAGAAATGTTAGCATGTCCTTATTAACCTAAAGAGTAATTCACTTTCCATTTTCCTCCTTTTAGGTTCATTTCTTTTATTGGGTACATGCTCTTTTCCTTATATACAGTGTAAATAAATGAACTGTAGTTGTTAAATTTAAAAAATCAGAATGTACTTACTATTGGAATTCTTTCCAGCTATGTTCAATCCTAGCAGACTGGCTTTGAATGGTTTTCACTTGCGTTGTTTTTTTAGGAATAATTATCATTTTGGGACAAGGAGTCTTTAGGTTTTCAACTTCATTTGTCCTTGGTTATTTCCAGGGTTGAGTTGGAAAAGGTTCAGAGTAGAATGGCTTTGTTATCGGTGGAACAGTAGAATGGAAAACCCTAAATTAAGCACTGGTATTTGGAAGCTGTCATGCAAGAAAAAGGAGACCCTTCTGTGAATCACTTGTAGATTTCTTGAAAATTGTATCCACTCTGCTATACATGGCAAGGGATCCACTCTGCTATACATGGCAAGCCTACCAATTCCATGGTGTTCTTCAGCTAGACGTCTTGCACACAGTTTCTGTGATTTCTTTTAAATCTGTTGCTAGAGAGATTTTGGTTATTTCTGCCAATTATGAAAGCTTTTACAGCGTTTTAAATGGACTTTCTTGTTCCTTAGGCTTCCTAGATCACACATGGTGGCACTGTGTTCATTGCAGCTTACAGTCAAGTCTTTTAAAAAATATATTGCTATTGTAATTGTTTTATTGAAAAATAGAATGGTAGGGCTAAATGATAACTTAGAAATCGTATCTTCATATTTTTTCACTTGTATTATAAATGACTTTGCTACTTATTAAAGGACCATTAGGTTACATTTATTTTAAGATCACAGGATTAGAAGCGTTGATTGGCTTCAAAGATAATTCTAGTCCTACACTTTGTGAAAGGTGAAGTGTACTCATAATGTAATTTTGTGCATTATTAGTGATTCCTAATGTGCCCTTCCTGTTTGCCACACCCGGATTTCATTTTATCTTATCCCTATTTCACCTAGAATCCTCACATGTACTCCTGTATAGAATTATTGCTCTGTTTATTACTAAATGGAACCCATGTTGAATTTTAGCAGGTTTTCCCTCCTCCATCTGTGTCCTTGGTGGTAGCTGGGTTTACTGCCGCTCACTTATTAGTGCCCTGGGTCTTAACAACCTTATTCAAACAAAACGTCTTAAATGGAGGTATTAAATGGGTCACAACAGTGAGCCATTTTCTAACTTTTGGTGCAATAAAATGGGTATGTTGTGTTTTGGAATATAAGACTTCTGAGTGCAGCTATTCATTTTCTTCATCTATAAAACATTTTAGAATAACAGCCTACATCTGTTTGGGGTATAAAATTCCACGTTTTGAAGAAACATCACTGTTATGTAACTTCAAGCCAGACGCAGGGAGGGAGCTAGCTTTCTGATGGGCCCGCGTTGTGTAGACGTTGGGAGTAGTGTTTGTTTTAGCTATGGAGTTGTATTTGCTTACAGCCCATCTTTCACATGTGTAGAACACATTTTCATTATTGTTTCTTCATATTGTAAATGACCACAAGTGTGTGATACAATTTTGACTTGAAGAATATTTGAAAAATTTTTACACATCAGGAATTTATGAGGGATATTTCACTACTAGAAGTCAGAAGCACGTTTAATTATTTAGGCATTTATAGCATATTTAATTACTTTAGACTGTCAATCTTCTTTTAGAAAGTAAAGCTGGGATTTACTGTCAGCTCCCTTTTTAAAATAAATACCCAGTGGAATAGTACTGCCAATGCAAATGTGTTATTTTAAAATTATTTCTTTAAACTGAAGGAACAGCTCAATGAATAACTTTCAGTGGAAGAAATGGGCAAAATGTTTAGCGATAGAATTCAAAATCTAAAGTATTAAGTACCAAATAAGTGCCGATAACATTCAGTGCAATTTGTAGGTGATTTTAATTGATAAGTAAATGATGCCAAGGTGGATTATTACAGTAAATTTTAAAGCTTTTTTTATCTTACAATTTATTTACCTTCTTATTAAAATGTTATGTATTTGTTTTTGAGAGAGGAGAATACAAAGAAGAAAATTAAAGTGATCCATAATCATACTAGCTGTTAGTCTTGTAGGACATATGTTACTACATAATGTAAACTAAACAATTTAGAAAAGCTTTTAGAAGCTTATTACACTGTTAAGTTTTTGTTTTGGTAATTAATTGGAAATGCAACACTTGAGTTTCAGAATGGATAGTGTCAGATGCTTTTATGTTTTTGTGATGATAAAAAACTAAATTTACTCTTATGGAACTTTGATATTCAGGGTGAGCTGGCTGCCTGTTTATGATGATAATAAACTTCTCTGAGACTGTAGCTTGTCAAATTAGTCCAGGCTGTTGACGTTGATTTTTTTTCTCATTTACATTTCCTTCCTGAACGGTAGACAGATGATTTTCTTTCTGTGGTCACTGTTTGTCAAACTTGGGGCCATCAATTGCTGTAGGTGAGTAGGACAGATGATGCTACTCTTTAAATTTCTAATTAAATATAAATATATTTTTTAAAATGCCCTCAATTCACATGAAGGTAAATACCCATTAATTCCTCTGTAATTGGGACATGACTCCCACGCCCACCCACCCACATATAGTAATAGTGATAATGTTCAAAGTCCACATTTACTTTTCCCTTGCAGCTGGGCTGCCTGTGGAATGACAGTAATGGACCCATGGCACGTGCGTGCTGTTGGACATCACCGCCACCAGCACCCACTCCCCAGGCTGTGCCTGGACGTTACTTCAGCTGCTGAGTGGAGTCCACTGGTGTTTAGACATTTTTATCGTAGGAAATATGAGATGGGTTTCTAAGTTTGAATTTCAGAAAATTTAATTAATAACAAATAGATTGTACTGCGGGTGAATTTATATGCAGATAACTTAGATGTCTCCTGGGGACAGTGATAGTCAGACAAGACTCTAGTCAGACTCTCGGGGCTTCTTACCTCCTAGTTGCCTTTAGGCAAGTTACACAGCATGTTTGAACCTCAGTCTCATCAACTATAAATCAAGGAAGTAATACTACCTGTCAGCGTGTGCTGTGAGGATTCAGTGAAATGAAACTTACGAAGTGCTTGTTAGCGGAATAACCTGGCACATGAAAAGTGTTGGTGTTCTAGCCTTTACTGTTAGACAGCTAATTATAAATATTGAACTCTAATTGTATGATTCTCTTGACCACTCATGCTTCGTTACTACAGATGACTTTCCTCCCTAGCTGTGCGTGGGACTTGATCGGCGCTTAGACCCACGTCCCCCTGTGTTTTGTTAGAGCTTCTCCACCTCCCCCAGCATTGACTGACTTGGTGATGCTCCCTTGAGGGGCAGAGGCCTCCCACTCCCACACTGGCTGCTCTGTTCCTAGAGTCCTGTTTTTCAGGTTGGAGTCTTGTAAGTGACTCTGTTCGCCTCCTCTTTCTTCTTTGCCTCTTTTTGCCCTCCGCCTACCCTTGCTCTCTCTCCAGCCTCCTCCTTACTCTTTTTTCCCTCTCCTTTCCTTCTCTGCCCCCTGCCTTCTGTCCTCCTCTCTGCACCCATGGGGACTCTCTGTGTCCCCATCCTCTGCCTCCGTGCTTTCTTCCCCTCCTTCCTGCTCCCTTTTTACCCCTTTTTCCTCTCTCCACTCTCTTTCCTTTTCTTCTACTCCTTTGTCTCTCCCCTTCTCTTTCTGCTCCCCATTTCCTCTCTGTTGTCTCCCCATTCCTCTAACGTTTCTTCCCGCACCTCCCCTTACCTTCCTTTCTCCTCCGTGTTTCTTTTAAATGCTAACACTTTGACTGCTAAGAAGTTACACAGCCTTGGCTCTTAAGCACAAAAATGTCAAGTCCTAAAGTTTTTTTATTACGGTGGGAAATACTTATTTTGTCATTTCAGTAGCTAGACTCTCGTGCTTCTCTTTCCATTTCAAAAGGACTTCACAACATCATTTTATGTCCCTTGGGCTCAAAAAGTTAGAATATCACCAGGCTCAGTGGCTCACGCCTGTAATCCCAGCACTTTCGGAGGCCAGGTCAGGTGGATTGCTTGAGCCCATGCGTTTCAGACCAACCCAGGCAACATGGTGAAACCTCATCTCTAAAAAAAAATAAAAAGTTATCTGATTGTGGTGGCATGTGCCTGTAGTCTCAACTACTCTGGTAGCTGGGGTGGGAAAATCTTGTGAGTCTGGGAAGTCGAGGGTGGTGATCGTGGCACTGCACTCCAGCCTGGGTGATAGGGCGAGACTTCATCTCAACCAAAAAAGAAAATCCACAGACTACAGTTTAACTCTTTGTATACTATACCTGTGAATTTGTTTGATACTAGCTTTGTTATAAAGTTAAAATGAAATAATAATAATTATAGGCTCATACAGTCATAAGGCAAGCTTGGCTCTTTCTTACCTAATTTATTTGATTTTTTTTTTTCCTCTCTCTTTTTAGATTCCTTTTTCTTTGGTCCAGTTTCCCTTATGGGAGTCCTTAAAAGTAAGTTTCTCAATCTGCACATAAAATTTATCTCTAACTATAATATAGCTAATAGTTTGAATGTGGAAGAGTAGAACATAATGTTGACTAGAAGTTTAATAAGTCAAATCTACTAGCAGTTGAAAATACATTTTATGTGTGATGTACTTGCCATTTCAGTCTTTTAAACTTGTTCAGGTGGCTGTGCTCTGAGGAAGTAGGCATAGCAGGGGGCACTGACACCCATAGATATTAAGAAAAAAACTTAACTGTACTTTTTTTCTGTATTGCCATTTTGGAATTTCTGAGCATACCCAGTTAAATTTCATTTTGCTTCCGTCTCTCTCTCTCTCTCTCTCTCTCTCTCTCTCTCTGTCTGTGTGTGTGTGTGTGTGTGTGTGTGTGTGTGTGTGTGTAGAAGTTAAAGAGTTACAGTGAGGGTAAGTGGATGAGGAAAAATGCAAAGCCTTGAATACATGAAGACTGAGAAGACCCAGTTTCCCCCACACCCTATAAAAGGGCCACTTGGATCAGGAGCAGCAGGGTGTCAGGGCTCTGACTGTCCCTTCCATCTTGGCTGCTCACTCCAGCCAGGACTAGATGCCCCCAGAGGGAAGGAGCAGAGTATGGTGAATTGTGAGTCAACCTTGGAGAAGGTCAGTGAGCTGTTTAAAAAACCAACACGTTTTAACCATTAAGGACATGGACATGGGCAAATACTTCATGATGAAAATATCAAAAGCAGTTGCAACTGAAGCAAAAATTGACCAATGGGATCCAATTAAACTAAAGAGCTTCTGCACAGCAAAAGAAACTATCATCAGAACGTTCAGACAACCTACAGAATGGGAGGAAATTTTTGCAACCTTTTCATCTGACAAAGGTCTAATATCCAGAGTCTGCAAGGAAATTAAACAGATTTATAAGAAAACAAGCAGCCACATTAAAATGTGAGCAAAGGACATCAACAGACACTTCTCAAGAGAAGACTTTCATGCCGCCAACAAACATGAAAAAAAACTCAACATCACTGATCGTTAGAAAAATGCAAATCAAAACCACAGTGAGATACCATCTCATGCATTAATAATCACCATGGTGATTATTAAAAAGTCAAGAAACAACACATGCTGATGAGGCTTTGGAGAAAAAGGAATGCTTTTACACTGTTGGCAGGACTATAAATTAGTTCAACTCTTGTGGAAGACAATGTAGTGATTTCTCATGGACCTAGAACCAGAAATACCATTTGACCCAGCATCCCCATTATTGGGTATATACCCAAAGGAATATAAATCACTGTTATAAAGATACATAAATGTGTATGTTCATTACAGAACTATTTACCATAGCAAAGACATTGAATTAACCCAAGTCCCATCAGTGATAGACTGGATAAAGAAAATGTGGCATATACACACCATGGAATACTATACAGCCATAAAAAAGGAATAATATTATGTCCTTTGCAGGGACGTGGTTGGAGCTAGAAGCCATTATCCTCAGCAAAGTAATGCAGGAACAGAAAAGTAAACACTGCATGTTCTCACTTATAAGTGGGAGCTGAGCAATGAGAACATGGACAGAGGGAGAAGAAGAACATAAAACGACTCTGGCCTATTGTGGGTTGTATGGAGAAGGAGAGCATCAGGAAAAATAATTAATGCTCGCTGGGCGTAATACTTACGGGTTGACAGATGGAGCAAACCAGCATGACACACATTTACCTGTGTAACAAACCTGCACATCCTGCACGCATGCTCTGGAACTAAAACCAAACAAAAAAAAAAACCAACACGTCTTTAAAAGCCTGTATTCAAAACATGCAGAGATGTTGCTTTGGTTTTTCACCTTCTCGTGCAGTGATAATGAAAACTTTGGGCAATGATATGAATTGTGTGGGTGTTTGTCAGCATTTTAAAGACCATAATAAAGAAGATAGTAGAGGGCATCTTACATGGTAAGAGTCTTATTTTGTAAGACCTCAATGTTATGTGAGTATGTGCGTACACACATAAATATCTGTACTAGGTTGCAATGTAAAATGTATTTCTCGTTGTGGATAATGGTCCAAAAACTTTGAACGCCCTTTTTCAAGTGAAAATGGTTCATAAATGACCAGGCTGTAAAATATCTAGGTAGGCATTAGCTAATACAAAAATAAAGGAATTACTCTCATAATTTTATAGATTTACTAGGCATGGAGTGCTCATACAAAATCTCTTTCGGAGAATATCATAAAAATGATTTAGACCTGGAAATAAATTCTGTCCAGGTTATATACTAAAAGATACTAAATTAAGAAAAAAACATTAACAGAGTAAATAATGGGATAATAAGTAGCGAGAAGTATTTCTTAAAAGTGATCTGATTTTAAGGAGGAGTAGTGCTCATTTAGTACAGGTTTTTGGGTATCCCGTTTTGTTTGTTTTGCCGTTTCCTATGCGGTGTGTGGTGAAAATAGAGTTCTCGGACAGCATTTCAGGGTATGATGTAACAGCTATCCAATGAGAAGGTCACATTCCATTAACATAACAGCTCTCCTTTTCAGTGTGTGACAAAAGAACAATGAAGCCAACAGCTGTCCAGCAAACAAGACTGACTTTATTAGTGTCTCAATAACCAGCATTCACATAGCTTCTGCACACTCTAACATCCTTTTGCCCTGCAAAGGAATGTTTTGAGGCCTAAAGAAGGAAAAAGCATAGTGTTTGTTTCTTTTCAACATTAAGGACATTTGTAAAATTCTGGCTGGTTAAGAAATGTCCAGAATTTTTCAGAGTAATCATAGATGACAATGCTATGATTGAAAAATTCTCTTTGAGCAAATGTTAAGATGCTGCAATGGTTTTTTTTTTTTTTTTTTTTTTTTCTGTCAAGTCAGGTTTCTTGAGGAATACATAACATGATAAAATTCACCCTTTATACATGCACATTTTTATGAGTTTCGATAAATGTTTAAAACCACCACCATAACCAAAACAGAGAATTTCCATCAACCCAGAAAGTTCCCTCATGCCATGTTGTAGTCGTACCCTTCCTGCACCCACAGCCTCTGTGACCCACTTCTGCAGTCTTCTCTTTTCCAGAACATCATAGAAATAGGTACAGAGTACTGTTATATCATCCTGTGCCTTGCTTCTTTCACTTAATGTAATATTTTGGAGATTCATTCATATTGTTGCTTGTACCAGCAGTTGTTTTCTTCTGTTGCTTTGTAGTATTCCATATGTGTATGGATATGCTACAGTTTACTTATGTACTAGTTTATACACTTTTGAGTTGTTTTCCAGTTTTTGATAATTATAAATAAAGCTGCTATAAATACTTGCATATAGTATTGGTATGGATATAGGTTTTTATTTCTCTAGGTAAGAGGCCAAGAGTAGCATTCCTGGGCCATAAAGAAGGTATATGCTTAATTTTATAAGAAATTGAACTGTCAAGGTGTTTTCTTAAGTGTTTGTACCATTTTGCATTCCTACCAACGGTGTATGAGAGTTCTAGTTGCTCTACATCCATGTCATTTCTTGTCACTATCAGATTAAATTTTTTTTCAGCCATTCTAGTACGTGTGAACTGGTATCTCATTGGGGTTTTAATTTGCAGTTCCCTGGTGACTAAATAATGTAGAGCCTCTTTTCATATAATAGTTTTTAAACATCTGAACGTACAATCACAATGCTTTTGTAGAAGTAGACAGTTTTTGGAACTTTAGAAATTTTTATGTTTACAATTTTATCAATTTAAACTTACTTTTCCAGTCATGGAGAGTATATGAGAAGATATCTCCACTGTGTTTATGTATATATGGAAATATTACTATTTAGGAAATTTTTTCTCAGCCAAGACCAGCACATTGCATACACACGGCACTGCAGGGAGTGAGGGGCTGGAGGTGGTGGCAGCTACGGTTGCCTTAAACTCAACTCTGTCTAAAATCAAAGTCATCATCTTTCTTCTAAAATCATGTCTTCCTGCTGTCTCCCATTTCTATTAATCAGTATTCTGCTGGCCACCTGGTCTCAAGTCTCAGATTAAAATTTGATTCCCTTGTTTCTTTTTCTCCATGTCACATTACTCACCAAGTTCAGTTGACTCGACTGTTGGGATTCTGTGGCCACATTTTACCTGGTTCTTAGTACCTTATCCTTGCCCACATCCTAGTAGGTTCTCTTCATTCTCATCCATTCTACATTTTGAACGTGTGTGATCTTCCCTAAACTTCTCTTTCAGTAACACTCAGGTTCTCAGGAACATGAAGTTGTTAGCACTCAAGGTTCTCCACACCGTGTCCTTGACCGTTTTTTTCAGTCTCTACCTTGTACTTTGTGTATGTGTGTGTGTGCGCGCGTGCATGCAGGCATGCGTGCGTGCACAGAATGTTTCCCCTCCAGCCAGAATAGCCTCCTTACTGCCTCTAAATATGTTCCCCCTTCCCTGTTATCTGACTCCTTTCTGAAACACGTTTCTAACGGTCCAAAAGTGATGCATCATTCAAAGCTCAGTTCAGTGTTTGAGCTCCTGCTTGAAGTCTCCTGATCGAGGCCTCGGAGATTTGCCCTTATTTAGTGCCGATTTGTCTGTCACTGACTCGTATTTAATCACACGCTCTTTTGTGTTTAAAACATCTTACAGTGTTCAGATAAGGCCTTCACCCCTTCCATTTACTAATAAATGACACCTGCTGTCATGGAGCCTCTGCTGCCTGTCCACTCTGTCTGGACATTGTTGCATTTCACAAGAATGCAAAGATGAATAAGAAATGGCTTAATGCCCTTGAGCTGAGAGTCCGTCAGAGCGGCACACAACTCACTGATAACTTAAATGTAGTGTGTCTCTAATTGCAGAATACTCACTTGTCACTACACTACATCATTGCCTTTTTCTTTTTTTATAATGCAGTTGCTTACCAAAACATATTTTAGATGAAAAGGGACAAGACACCAGAAAGAGATGGGGAAGCAAAAACGGTAGATTATCATGTCCAAAGCGTTAGCGAAGATAATTTTCCTTGAAGA